CCAGAGGCATATGAAAAGATGCTCAACATCACTAGCCATCAGAGAGATATAAATTAAAACCACAGTGAGGTACCACTTCACACCAGTCAAAATGGCCATCATAAACAAGTCAACAAACAACAAGTGTTGGAGAGGTTGTGAAGAAAAAGGGACCCTAGTGCACTGTTGGTGGGAATGCAGACTGGTGCAGCCACTATGGAAAACAGTATAGGATTTCCTCAGAAAATTAAAAATGGAACGGCCTTTTGACCCGGCAATTCCAGTGCTGGGATTATAACCTAAGAATACTGAAACACCAATCCAAAAGAACCTATGCTCCCCAATTTCATAGCAGCATTATTTTACAGTAGCCAAGTGCTGGAAGCAACCTAAGTGCCCATCAGTAAATTAATGGATCAAACAACTATGGTACATTTACACAATGGAATACTATGCAGCAGAAAGAAAGGAGCTCCTACCCTTTGCAACAGCATGGATGGAGCTGGGGAGCATTATGCTAAGTGAAGTATGCCAGGTGGTGAAAGACAAATACCATATGATCTCACCTATAAGTGGAAGCTAATCAACAAAACAAGGAAGCAAAATATAACCGGAGACATTAAAATTAAGAACAAACTGACAGTAACCAGAGGGGAGATGGGAGGGGAAAATGGGGGGGAAAGGGGAAAGGGTTCTCAGAAACAACTATAAGGGACACATGGGCAAAACCAAAGGGAGGTGGGATCAAGGGTGGAAAGTGGGGATGGCTGAGGTATGGGGGGAGTGGTAAGAGGAAAATGGAGACAACTGTATCTGAACAACAAAAAATAACAAAGTAAAAAAAAATCTTATGGGAACACCATCATATATGTGGTTGGTTATTGAAATGTTATGTGGTGCATGACTATAGTAGTACTTATTGCTGATTGTTGTGGGTACTGATTTGTACGTACTGACCTAAATTGTTGTGTGGCTTAAATGAGATCATGCAGTAAAATATTTTGCACACACAGAAAAATAAATCTAGCAGCTAACATTTATTGAATACTTAATATATGACAGTCCTTTTTTTCAGTGCTTCATATGGATTATCTCATTTATTCATTTGCTTTTAGAGTATTTTCTTTTTTTTTAAAGATTTTGTTTATTTATTTATTTATTTTTTAGAGTGAGGGGAAGGGTGGGAGAAAGAGAGGGAGAGAAACATCAATGTGTGGTTGCCTCTAATGCATCCCCCACGGGGGACCTGGCCCGCAACCCAGGTATGTGCCCGGACTGGGAATCAAACCAGCAACCCTTTGATTTGCAGGCCAGTGCTTAATTCACTGAGTCACACCAGCCAGGGCTGGATTATCTCATTTAATGTTCATAATACTTTGAGGCATTAGTTTTATTAGCCCCCTTTTAGAGATGAAGGTTGAGTAACTTATAAAGTTGATAGTTGGTATAGTCAGGATCTGAAACCTGTTTTATTTGTCTAAAGATCTGAGGTACTTAATCACTCTACCATACTGCCTGCCTAGAAAATTTGTCCCCCGTCTGCATTAGGTCCCATCCATACTATTCTTACTGAAGTCATGAGACAGAGCTGAGACTACTCTTACGCCTTGTGTTGCTGGGTCTGCCAAGTCTGGGAGGGAATAATGCAATGACAAGCTCCCTCTTTAAATTCAAATGGTGTGACTATTGTACCCTTTTAGCTCAGGCATGAACTACATGCTTACCATCAATTCATATTTTTGTCAATAGAAATGAGACTTATGGAAATAAACAAAAGGTATATTTAAAAAATCTTTACTGAAAAATAATTCATATATATCACACAGTTTACCCATTTAAAGTGTACAATTCAATGATTATGGCACATTAAGATTTGTGCAACCATGATGACAATCTAATTGTAATATTTTCATCACCCCAAAAGAAACCCCATGACCATTAGCAGTAACTCCTCATTCCTCCCAGCCCTCCAGCCCTTGGCAACCATTAACTTGATTTTTGCCTCTATAGATTTGCCTATTCTCAACATATCATATGAATGGAAGAGATATGTAATCTTTTATGACTGATTTCTTTCACTTAGCATTGTGTTTTCAAGATTCATTCTTGTTGTAGCATGTATCAGTACTTTTTATAGCTGAATAATATCCCATGTACAGTTATACAAAGTATGTTTATCCATTCCTCAGTTGATGAACATTTAGGTTGTTTCCATTTTGGGTATTATGAATGAAGTTGCTTTGAACATTCATGTATATGTTTTTGTTTGAATCTCTGTTTTCCATTCTCTTAGTTATGTATGCCTGGGAGTAGAGTTGCTAGGTTATGTGAAAACTATATTTATCATTTTAAGGAACTGCCAAATTGTTTTCCAAATGGCCACATAATTTGACTTTCCCACCAGCAGTGTATGAGTGTTTCAATTTCTCCATAACCTTAACAACACTAGTTATTGTTTTTCTTTTTTATTGTAGCTATGGTAGTGAATATAAGGTAGTATCTCATTGTGGTTTTAATTTGTATATCTTTAATGTTGAGCATCATTTCTGGTGCTTATTGTCCACTTATATATATTATAGCTATATATATATTATTTGGAGAAATGTCTATTCTGATCTTTTGACCATTTTAATTATTTTTATTATTGAGTTGTAATAGTTATTTATATGTTCTAAATAAAGGTCCAATATTAGATATATGATATGTAAATATTTTTCCAATTATGTAGATTGTTTTTACTTTCTTGATGGTATTGTTTGCAGTACAAAAGTTTTGAATTTCAATGTACTTCAATTTATGGATATTTTCTTTTGTCACTTGTGCTTTTGGAGTTCTAAATAATTACTGCCTAAGCCAATGTCAGGAAGATTTACTATTATGTTTTCTTCTAAGAGTTTTGTGGTGTTAAATTTTACATTTAGGTTTATAATCCATTGCAAATTAATTTATTCATGTGGTGTAAAAACAGGTCCAACTTCATTTATTTCCATGTGAATCCTCAGTTGTCCCCACATTATTTATTGAAATACTATTATTTTTCCATTTTATTGTTTTGGCACACTTATCAAACATTATCTGACCATCAATGTAAGGGTTTCTTTCTTTCTTTCATTTTAATTTTTAAGGTTTTATTTTATTTATTTTTAGAGAGAGGGGAAGGGAGGGAGAGAGGGAGAGAAATGTAAGTGTGTGGTTGCCTCTCACATGGCCCTCACTGGGGACCTGGCTCACAACCCAGGCATGTGCCCTGACTGGGAATCGAACCAGTGACCATTTGGTCTGCAGCCCGCACTGAGTCCACTGAGTCCACTGAGCTACACCAGCCAGGGCTTCTTTTTTTTTTTAAGTATTTTTTCCATTACTATTTATCCTCCTTATATTCCCCTCTGCTCTGCAATCATCACACTGTTATCTGAGTCTATGAGTTCTTTTTCATTTTTGCTCAATCTCTCCACCCGCTAATGTCCCCTGAAAAGATTTATTTCTGTACTCTCAATGCTGTTCCACTTATTTATGTATCTATCCTTGTGCTTGTACCACAATGTCTTGATTACTGTAGTTTTGTAGCAAGTTTTGAATTTGAGAAGTGTTTTGGAGATTCTTCCCATCCATAAACATGGAGTATCTTTATACTTATTTAGATTTTTAAAATTTTCTTTCAATGTTTTGTAGTTTTCGGTGTACTTGCACTTGTTTTGTTCATTGTATTCCTAAGTACTTTATTAAGTTGACACTATTGTCAATGGAGTTGTTTTCTTTTTTTTTCAGACTGTTTATTGCTAATGTATAGAAATACAAGTGATTTTATGTGTCAACCTTTTATCATTGCAACCTTGCTAAACTCATTTAGGTGGGCAGTATGAAAAGAGCAAGAATATGTGTAGCATTTGGAAGGATGAATTGAGTAAATCAGGACTAGAATAATATGTAGTTATGTGTACTGAGCATGCTTCAGATACATTAGTGCTTCTCAACCTTTAATATGCATATGAATCTCCTGGGAATCTACTAATTATAATGCAGACTTTTGTCAGTGGGTTTGGGTAGAACCTGGGATTCTGTCTTTGTAACAACTTCTTAGTAGATAGCTGGTAGCTTTCATTTATTATTTTTAAGCCACAATAACCCTGCAAGATATATATTATAGTTCCCATTTATAGATAAAAAATGAACTCAGAAGTTGAGTAAGATGGAGAACAGGATGACAGCTAGTGGGGGAGGTTAGGGAGTGGAGGGATTGAGCAAAAAAGAAAAAGGACTCATGTACACGAACAACAGTGTGGTGATTGCTAGGGAAGGAGGGTGGTACAAGGGGACCAAAAGGTAATGGAAAAAAAATACAATAAAGATAAAAATGATTTTAAAAAGAAAAAAAAGAAGTTGAGTAAATAATCAGTTCATAGACTAAGTGGTAGAGCCAGGATTGGATTGAACACAGATCATTCTAATGCCAAAGCTAGGGTCTTTCCACTCTACCACACTGGATATCTAAAATAGGAGATCAGTTGGGATATGAACAATGTATAGATCAAGGGAAAAATTAAGCTTTTAAGGGTCAGGAGAGCTTCCTGGAGTGCATTTGGGTCTAAACCTTGAGGCTATCTTGAACTGGTTAGTGAAGACTTTGCTGTACAGATTGCTAAGAGTGAAGTTGTGAGACTGGAATATAAGGTAGAAGGAAGATGATACTAGTAGACAGAAGACAATTGGAGAAGGTCTAGAAAGTGGCTCACTTCTGATCAGAACAGACTTCAGAACTGGACTCTATACTGCTGACATCTACATTTGAGGTTACAACTACTGTTGGCTCCTCCAGAATTCTAATTTACTTTACTGGGGATAATGAATGATATAACATCAGCACTATCCCTGAGGAGCCAGGTTAAGGGGTTAGGAATGTGAGCAAGGCTCTGATCATATGGTTACCTATGAAAAACTATGGATAGGTGACAAAATTCCTTTCCATTAATTTTCAGCAGGATATTAGGGGATTTCCATTACCTCAGTCAAGACGCATGAGATTTTTTTTTTGTCCTTAGCACCATTTATTGAAGTATGACCCTTGATGACAATCTGGCAGGCATACCAATGCCAGCCAAGAAGGGAGTGGTGGAGGACACAAATGCAGAAACAATAAGACTCAGAAAAATAATAGCTTCACATGGGATAGCCCCAACAGTTGTACAACAAACACTGGTTCTTTATCTATAGAAATTGCCCCCTGCACCACCCCCCTCTAAAGATCTACTAATTTTCAAAGAATATAATATGCTGTTTCAGAAATATTATTGGCATAGATAACTCCTTTGGCAAACAGTGGGAGTCACCAAGCTCCAGACAACAGGAAGTGGCCAGAAGTGTGCCTATCTTCCTTCATCTGAAACCTGCTACTGGCAGAGCAGCACCTTTAGGGAGGTTGGGGTTAAAGTTGTGGCTCTAGTGTCCCTTGACAGCTTTTTGGCACATGAGGTTAAATGGAAAACATAACCTAAAACTGACCTTGGAGGAAGCTTTTCATCTTTTCACCCTTTCTGTTTCTCTGCTTCCAGTCTCTCCCTTGTGAGGACTTTATTTTCAGTGTCTCTGTCTCCTTCTCTTGGATTCCCATTGAAATGTATTGCTATAACCTGGCCAAGTCTGAAGCCAGTTAGGGTTCAGGAAGACTCAATTTCCTAGGGCCCTGGGAGTAGGGAGTTAGAAGGGACGTGTTATAATAGCTCTTTCTCTATATATATCAAGCACTGCACTTACCTATTACTCACTGGGGCCTGAATGAGTGTTCGAAGGGAGAGGGCAGAAGTCAAGACCAATAACTATTTTTGTGGAAATCTGTTGGCCTGCCTTCCAAACTGCTACCCCCTTGCAAGCCTTTATGGAAGGCAGAGCCCAGGAAATGAGAATGGAAGAGAGACAATGCACCTCAAGTAACAGTGATGGCTTTGCAGCACTATCACTCACAATGGGACTATGCCAGCAGTGCTGAGTGTCAGTGCCTATTAAATAGTTCTCCTCTGTCTGCCTATAATTGAACAGTGAAGTTAGGATTATTTTATCAAGATCTTTGGAAACTGTCCTGCCATGTACAAATGAGCATCCTTGTATTCTGATTCCAATTCTAAAATAATTTGAGGTGGGATGAGGGACAAAAATAAGTCAATAGTACTTTTAGTGTGATTAAATTTAAGGTACTATCACTCAACTGCTCACTAGAAAAAATCAGACTGTGGTCATAGTGTCCAGGTGAGCGAGCAACCCCTCTTTTCCCTATATTTCCAAAAAGCTGTTGTAGCCACACACACACACCCCTTATAATCATGGACTACATCAGCCCCATCCCCTCAATACAGGACATCTAAACTAGCTCATTGTTTGTCTTAGAGCCTGTTTTTTTTTTTTAAGATGGCAGCCACAGCCTATATTCAAAGCACTCCCACACCTTCCTCTACCTTGGCTTTGTAAGCCCACCCCTTTCCAAGCCATTAGCCTTCCTGAATAAAGTAAAATTCTCCACTTGGGGGGAGAATGGCAGGTTGACATTTTAACTGTAGTTCTGACAGCAGCAGTGTACTAAGAGCATACCTAGCCCCTGCCCCCACCTCAGGATACCCTGCTGGCCAAGATTCTTCCATTGTTTCCAAATACAATGAGAAGGAAACGGAAGTTAGGAACCAGTATTTGTAGCAGCAACAAAGTTCCTTGGCAAATTCTTTTGGTTAAATGAGGCACTCCTGCTGCTACAGTTAACCTCCAAGGACAGTGAAGAACTCAGCACTAACTAGAACAGATGCCAGGGCTTGCTGGGCAGAGCTGTGCAATACCAAGCATGGGCTCTAGTTAGCAAGGAATGGGGAACTGAGCTGTATAACAGGCAGAGTTTGGCTATAACTCCCTTCCCGCCATCACCAAACTGAGGGTTTTTCCAGGATAGACACTGGCTTCCCATGTCAGGGTCTAGGCAACAGCAGCAGCATCAGTTGTTTGTCTGCCTCAGATCCTGGATGGATCACACTTTGCTCTGAGGGACTGGCCCTGGCTGGAGCTTTCAGCTACCATGAATTTAGGTTCCCTGGGCCAGGCCATAGGCTGAGAATGCAATTAGATAGAGGAACTCCTCCTGAGCTCACCTCTTCCCTTTCCTTAGCTTTGAGACTATAGAGAGATAGGTGGACCTTTGTCAGTTTCAGATTTCTTTGGTTTCAAAAAATAAGTAGGATGAGATTGAAACCTCTTGGGGAATTCTAAGCTCATGGTTATCTATACTTCAATGGAAGTATAGAGCCAGGCCACAGTGGGGAAGCTGAGTTCAAGGTAAAAACTTCTTTCTTAGACACTTGTTAGCTATGGTGAGAATAATTCAAGGCCTTGGCACCCACTTACCTAACTATGATGAATTCAGGCTGATCTGGAGAAAATGTTTTCTTCCTGGGCTAACTTTTCACTTTCTAATACCCCTCTTCTCGCTTTATTCGTTGAAAGAAAGAAAGAAAGAAAAAAAAAGAAAGAAAGAAAGAAAGAAAGAAAACAATAAAACATAAAAATAAATAAAATCAAAAGGCCATTTAAAATATAACAATTAAGAACTACTTCCCCCCAATAAGGAAACTTACATGCAGATGTGAGCTTTAGCAGAGCTATTCATGGCCCATAGTGTGAAGCCCTTAGGGTAGGCATGTGTGTAACCCCTAACAATAAAAGACAAGATGAAACAGGAAGTGGTAGACCCAAAGTCTTAGGACAAAAGGAGGCCACACTAGCTAGGGCTGAGAGAAGGCCTCTTCCCCCTCCTGTAGATGTTGGGGAAGGTGGGGATGGAGCCAATTTCATTAAGCCTAGCTCCACCCAGAAGGGCATCTGGGGATCCCAAACCTTTGTTCACAATCTGTTAAGTGTAATTTCTCCTCTACTTCACACTGAAAATCTTGAGTGAGGCCTTGAAATTCCAGTAGGTGAATGCCCTCAAGATAGTCAGATCTCTGTGGGAAATGGCTGGGCCATGAGTGTTGGGGCAGAGTGGAGCCACATATGCAGTTTCTTTCTGAGTGTTCAGAAGCTGATTATGGCATGGGTGGGTGATGAGTACATGTTGTCTCTGATGCCCTAGTGCAAAGAAGAATGAAGGCACTTTGTTGGTTCTATGTGTGGTGAGTGCTTGCTGTGGGAAAGAGAGTGTGGCTGTATAATCACACTCTGCTACAGCTTCTACTTCTCACTTCTACACTGTAGGGTAGAAGCTTAGGTCCTCCCTAGTCTCTTAGCTGGTTGGGTGTACTGCTAGGTAAGGGGTAGTGAGAGACATTCAGGATAGAAGATATGGAACAAACTGCTAACTAACTGCTATCTATTTGCTAACAAACTGCTAACAAAGATTGAAAGCATTTCCCATTGTGGCTGGGCAGGGATAGTGTGGGCAGTCTGCTGCTGGAATTAGAAATTGCTGGGCCCCAGGAGTAGGCTTTCCCTGAGACATTTGAGCTGCTCTTCCCCAAGCTTGATTTTCTCTTCCAGCTCTCGCTGTTCAATGATAAGAGCAGATTTCATCTTCACAAAGTGTTGGTAATCTTGGAGCTGGTCCTGAGGCAGGTAGCGGGAGACCATGCCAAACACCAACTTCTCCCGTCGGTCCACATGCTCTTTCAGCTCCTTGGCATCTACCAACTGCCCTGTCAGCTGCTGCTTCTTCTCTATCAGCACCAACTGGGGAAGCAGAAGACCAATTTAGGGCCATTCCAATTACCAGTCATCTGTCTAACTCAGTGCTCCACTGGGCGTGCTGCCACAAAGCAACTACCCATTCTACTAACTGATCAGTCCTGGATTTTCTACCCTGAAGTTTACCTTCATGCAATAGCCTTTCTTTCCTGTAGCAGGGAGAGGGTGTACACAACAGTGATTCTGGACAGGGGAATATACAATACCTTTTTCTATCTCTAAGCTGCTTTTAATCAGTGGACCACCACTGATGTAGGGGTTGGGGATGGCTCTGACAAAGCCAGTTCAGACCCCTTCCATCTTTTGAATAACCATCACTGTGACAATGCATTCAAAATGGTATGTGTTTCTGCATGGGTATATGAATGTGTGTCTATAAAGCCAGGTGTAGGCACACACATATGTGCCTCTTATTATGGCTTCAAACTTGTTTGCAAAACCATTTGTATCCAAGCTGTGGAACTAACAGCCTCCCAAGTACTTGGTGAGACCTCTCCCTCCAATTAAGTTGGGGGGTGTGGGAGGTGGGAAAGAGAGGAGGGTAGAAATTGCTGCTGCAGCTACTATTACTACTATTACTGGCAGCTAGCACTGATTCAGTGTTTACTCAGTTTTGGGCTCTGTTTTAAGACATTAACATGATTATATAATTTAATTCTGAAACCCTATGTGGTGGGTAGTGTGTTCACTCCATTTTTAAGGGATTGAAATGGAGTGAGGTTAAGTTGCCCAAAGTCACATGGCTAATTAGTGCTAGAGCCAGAATTTCAAGGCACTTAAAAGCCAGTGCTCACACTCAACACTAGACTACCTCCCAGACTAACCAAACTTGAAAGAGGAAGCTCTGAGAAGAAACAGATGGCATTTCCCTCCATCCACACCCTGAGACTCTAACGTTACCTTCTCCTGGTTGGCCTCTGAATCAATGCTGTTGAGAGCATTTTCTACCCTTGCCAGTCGTCCAGAGAGTGATAGCAACAGGTTGACCACTTTGTCCAGGTCCCCAATAAACAAACGGTATTTTTCAAACTCATTAGACTTGCAGACAGCTTTTAGGTTAGCCTCCACCTCTTCCCCAAGGGCAGAATTGGCATTGATATCCTCTAGCAATCCTCGCTGGGCCTCCTGCAGGACAGAAAGTTTTCTTCCAATGCTTTCAATAAGCTGTATCTAGGAGAAACAAAGAGAAGGAGGCAAAGGATGAGAATGGGGACTGACAGAAACTGATCTGTTCCTGTAACCTCTGTTTTGTGAACCAAGTAACAGATGGTGGGTTTCACCCTAGTCACTGGAAACAAAAGAAACTTGAGCAAGTCACAAGCAATTCTAATTTTCAGGACAGGTATCTTGTCTCTCATCTCTTAGAATCTGGGAAGAATCTCTGTCAACACCAACTTTCTTGGCATTAGATAATGGTACCCATGGGCTAATACAAAATGTAACTTAATAAAGAGTTGCTGAAAAATATTAAACTAGACCACCTTGTTACACCATGGACAAGAATCAATTTAAAATGGAATAAAGACTTAAATGTAAGACTCAAAAACTATAAAAATCCTAGAAGAAAACATAGGCAGTAAAATCTTGGACTTTTTCATGGCAATATTTTTTTTTTGATATAGCTCCTCAGGCAAGGGAAACAAAAGAAAAAATAAAACACATGGGACTACATGACACTAAAAAAGTTTTTGCACAGCAAAGGAAAACATCAACAAAATGAAAAAGACAACCCACAGAATGGGAGAATATATTCACCAATGATATATCTGATATGGGCTTAATATCCAAAATTTATAAAGAACTCAGACAACTCAACACCAGAAACACAAACAACCCAATTTAAAAATGGGCAAAGGACTTGAATGGATACTTCTCCAAAGGGGACATACAGATGGCCAATACACATGTGAAAAGATGATCAACCTGACTAATCGTGAAAAATGCAAATTAAAACCACAATGAGATATCACCTCACCGATCAGAATGGCTACCATCAATAAATCAACAAACAAGTGTTCGTGAGGATGTGGAGAAAAGGGAACCCTTGTGCACTGTTGGTGGGAATGCAGACTGGTGCATTACCAGGTGCGTTGTGAAAAACACTATGGAGTTTCCTCAAAAAATTAAAAATGGAACTGTCTTTTGATCCAGCACTCCACTTGTGGGAATATATTCAAAGAAACCTGAATATATGCACCCCTATGTTCACTGAAGTGTTATTTATAATAGCCAAGTTTTTTTTTTTATAAAGATTTTATTTATTTATTTTTAGAGAGGGAAGGGAGGGAGATAGAGAGAGAGAGAGAGAGAGAGAGAGAGCAAGAGAAGCATCAATGTGCGGTTGCTGGGGGTTATGGCCTGCAACCCAGGCATGTACCCTGGCTGGGAATCGAACCTGGGACACTTTGGTTCCCAGCCCGCGCTCAATCCACTGAGCTACACCAGCCAGGGCAATAGCCAAGTTTTTGTAGTAGCACAAGTGTCCAATAGTAGATGAGTGGGTAAAAAAATCTGGTATATTTACATAATGGAATATAACTCAGCTGTAAAAAAGAGGGAAATCTTACCTCTTGCAATAGCATGGATGGAGCTGGAGGGTATTATGCTAAATGAAATAAGCTGGTCAGAAAAAGACAAATACCATATGATTTCACTTATATGTGGAATCTAATGAACAAATTAAACTAACAAAGAAAATAGAAACAGACTCATAGATACATAGAATAGTCTGACAGCTGTCCAATTACATAGGGATTGGGTGCTGGGTGAAAAAGTAAAGGGATTAAGAAAAAGAAAAAATAAAAAGAAAAATACCTCACAGACACGGAAAACAGTATGGTGATTATGAGAGGGAAAGAGGGGTGGGAGGTAATGGGAGAGGTAGAAGACAGTAAAAAGAAGCTAAATGGTGACAAAAGGAGACTTGACTTGGGGTGGTGAACAAACAATATACAGATGATGCATTATAGAATTGTACACCTGAAACCTATATAATTTTATTAACCAATGTTGCCCTCATAAATTAAATAAATAAATAAATAAATACTTGCTGAGACTATTTAATAAACAGAACTTGAATGCTTGTGAGAACATAGGTTGGAAAACCATTGTCATCTATTATTTGCCTATTTCTTCATTCATTCTTCTTCTGTCCACTTAAGTACCTCCAATGTTCATGGCATTATGGTAGATCTTCACCCCCTCAGCTTAGCTTTTGAGGCCTTTTGGATAATAGTCTGAGTTCTAGAGTTGTAATGACTATGTTTGACTTAGAGCTCTGCAACTTCCTAGCTGTGTGACCTTAGGTGAATTTTGTTATGGAGTTTTACTTTATCTGCAGAATGGGGACAACTGCAGTACCTTTTTCATTGAATTATAATAAAGATTCAAAGATAAAATTACTGCAAAGGGTTTAACATAGACTAAGTGCTCAGTAACAATGGGCTGCTATTATTATTATTCAGTTTGGTCCCACTCTACCATTCTAATTTCACTTTTCAGAACCTTTCAGGATTAGTTCCTCACTCTCCTCTGCATTCACAACACTCATTCTTATGTTCATGATTTGCTTATGTACCTCTGCCTGATCTTTATCTCTTCACTTTGGCTAGTCCCATGCTTTCTTCTGAGCCAAGTTTTGCCCCTACACTCCCTGCTGAAAGCACCTACCCTCAAAACTCTTCTCTCAATAATCTTTTTATTTTCTGAACTCTCCAATTTCTTAGAATTAGAAGCCTACAGTTTAATTTGAAGTTGTTCACTTTCTGTTTCATGTATGTGCACCTGATCCCTCTCCTACTATTGATGAAACTATAAATTTCTCAAGGGCACTAGTGCCTGTGTCTTCTGATTTGACTTCCCTATATTTGTAACCAGTTCTGGGACTGCACTCACAGGAAGGAAGGTAGTGTGGTTGAACGGAGTTTTAGAGTCAGGGATGCCAGGAATCCAATTCCACCTCCTCAAAACTGTGTGACCTTGGATGAGATACCCAGTCCCACTGAAACTTCTGTTTTCTCATCTGTAAACTGGAGAAGTGCCTCCTCTCCTCCTGCTCCCTGTTCTTGTGTGAAATGAAATCATAGAGGTAAAATACTTAGTAATGCCTGGCACATTAAGCACTTAATACATGTTTACTAATGCAGCAGCTGCTACTGTTGTTATTACTATTACTATTATCTGGGTTTGAACCCCAGCTCTGCCACTAAGTAGTGAAGTGACCTTGAGCAAATACCTCTATGCCTCAATTTCCCCATCTAAAAAATAGGATACCAATAGCACCTACCTTATAATATTGTTATAAGAATTAAATGATTCTACTGCTGGAATTATACCCTAAGAATCCTGAAACAACAATTCAAAAGAACCTATGTATCCCAATGTTCATAGCAGCATTATTTACAATAGCCAAGTGCTGGAAACAGCCTAAGTGCCCATCAGTAAATGAGTGAATCAAAAAACTGGTACATTTACACAATGGAATACCACACAGCAGAAAGAAAGAAGGGACTTCTACCCTTTGTGACAGTATGGATAGATCTGGAGAGCATTATGCTAAGTGAAGCAAGCCAGGTGGTAAAAGACAAATACCATACGATCTCACCTATAAGTGGAGCCTTAATCAAGAAAACAAACAAGTGAGCAAAATAGAACCAGGGACATGGAAACAAGGAACAGACCGACAGCAACCAGAGGGGAGAAGGATAAGGGAAGAAAAAAGGGTAAGGGTCTAGTCAAGGGGCATGTATAAGGGACCCATGGACATGGACAACAGGGTGGGGATTGACTATGGGAGCCATAGGTGGGGGGTGGGCAGGTGAGGGGAGAGCAATGGGGAAAAAGTGGGACAACGTAATTGAACAACAATAAAAAAAGAATTAAATGAGTAAATACATGTTACATGCTTAGAATAATATTTTGTTTTTAAGATGTATGCTTCAATGTTTGTTTTATTATTATTCCTGCCCTGGTACTCTGGACCATTGGCTTGTAGTTTTCTAGAGTGTGTTCCTTTCTAGTACTTTATTTAGAGATCCCAAAGTGACCAAAACCAAAAGAACCTGCTCTGGGTTCAGAGTCTCTTGTCATATTTCAGAACTTGTCAAAAATTAGGAGATCACCATGATTTTAGTGCGAAGTGTAATAGGTTATTATAGTTAGGAAAAATTCCAAAACCCACTTGGAATAAGGGATCAATGATATTAATGCAGCAACACAATTAGATGCAAAGAGGCTCCCAGTTATATCCTCACCCTCTCCTTTCCCAAATAAAATTCAGTGCCAGGAACAAGGGAGGACTGGGGGTCAAATGATCAACCTGGAAAATCACCTACCCACCCCAGCTCTTAGGTTCCATAGACCTGCCAGGATGAAAGTGAAGACACCCCTTTGTTTGTTGGCACTTGGGCTTTGAAACCTGAACTTCAACCCTGGAGAAAATGTAGTGGGTAGAGCTGTGGAGTCATCGCAGACCCAGGTAGGGCTGAGCTGCTTTTCTGGTATATTACAAAACAGCATCATTCCACATCTATCTTCTTCAGAGACAAAAACTGTTCCAGCCCATCCATAATCACTTCAGACCACTATCCATTTTTCTGTGCTGTGTCATTTCTGATCATTTCTCTCTATTTCTGGTCAGATTTTATTAGGTTTGCTCATAATAAAAGGTTCCTGAGTAAGACAGGAACAGCCATGCCATGACCAGGGAGTACGAAATCCAAGGAAGCAAGCATTTGGATCAATAAAACTGTGATACTACCACACTTCCATTTTTTTCCTGGATATTTTGTTCCAGATTAGAAGTGGTGGTGGGGTCTCTTGCAAATGGCCTTGAGTTTTCCTACAGGTCATATCCTGAATAGGAAACATGGGCAGATGACTAATTTACATTGAATTCAGATGTCTACAAAGTGGTAAATTGGGCCTTTCAGGTTGCTATGAAAACCTAATTGTTTATGAAATAAAATGGGTAAGTACAGGAAGGGCAAAGTGATTGCAGGAATCTGATTAGACAACCAGGCTAGTGGTACTTAGAGGAAGAAAGGGGAGGCTTGGAACAACATTTTCATTTATCTATTTAATATTTTTAAGAAATTACTGACTGACTATATTTGCAAATAAATACTAAAGTTCACCAGCTTATAATTTTTCCTTTTCTTTCTTAGTCTGTTCTCTCTTCCAGAAAGTTACACAGAGAATACAATCAATGATTGCCATTGGTTAGAGCTCAACTGGCAACAACTCTGATGTGCCTTCTTAACAAGGCTGGCTTGTTTCAGAGGGACAGCCCAACAGAAAGTCAGACAGTCTTGACTTCAAGTCTTGAGTCTACCACCTAGTCTGTATCCCTGGATAACTTAGTCCTCTCAACTGGTAAAAAAGCAATAGTAATGTCTGCCTTATAGAGTTGTTTTAATGACTAAAGAGACACTGCGGTGATTATTATGATTACTACTACCATAATTACTATTATTGACCAGATCAAAAAGAGACTGGAGTTGTATTTGTGAGAAACCCAGAGAGGCTTTTTGATTGCCATACTGAAACTATAGGAATGTATCAAGGTGTTCTAAAGAACCTAGAGGCCAGGGAAACCTCTAGACATACTCAAGCTAAATACTGAAAAATCTCTAAGGTATTTTTAAAAAATCACCTTTTTTTGAGCCAGTTCATGGTCCACTTCCTCCTCTCCTAGGCCAATCTCTGCCATCTCAGGTTGGTCTTTCAACTTGTTCAACAGCTCTGCCTTGGCCACAGAAATATTGTAATAAGCTGAGTAAGAGGTAGGGATCCCTGGGCCCCCATGAGGAGGTGAGAAGTGCTGAAATTCTTGCCTGTGAGAACAAAGAATGACCATTTGAACACTTCTGTTGAGAGGCTGCTGACCTTTCTTGTTCTCAGTTTCCCTATTTGTAATACAATGGGACCCTGCTTCACCAAGGAGTTGTAAAATAAGGAAATGATGGACCAGGAAGCAGGTTGAAATGTAAACAGACCACATAAAAGCTATCTAAAAGCCAAATCAAGGCCAATTTTAAGAAATTAAAAGGCAATTTCCTTGCCCCTGACTTCTGCAGCTACAGGGATTTCTTTAGAGATCATTTGGTTTGGTCATTGACATCCCACTACATCCAGAAAAACTAACAGGCCCCTAAAGTTCTGGGCTTATCATCAATTATCCCCCTTGGCTCATGGCACTGGAATATGGATCCTAAGGAGGGGCTAGGTGGTAGGGATGTATCTAACACCTCAGCTATTTGTCCTCTTAAGCCTGTTGACTTCCCAACTATCTATCCTGGACCCTGCCCACTCCAGCTCTGTTTAGTCTGCTTGCTTGCAAAAACACCCCTGGCTTTCCTGAACACTGATCATTTCTTCTTTCCTGGTGGTACAACTCCTGCTTAAAATGGTCCCTCCACTGCAGATCTTCCACAGCAAAGAGGTCACCCTTGACCTTAGCAGGTAGTCACCATGTTGGAGGCTGGGGTTAGCAACCCTGCCAGGGACTTGTCACAGCCTACCACATCTCTTATGAGCTCTCTTGAGACTGCCTGGTTTCTAGTAGGCCTTTGGCCTGAGAAGGAATAGCATCTCTCCACTTCTGGTATATCCCCAAATGCCCCAACCTCCTCCATAGTTGGACAATAAAGTGGGGGTGGGAATGGAACCAGTGGCACCAAGAGGCTTGACAAGTGCAGCAGCAGACCCTGTTGTCTTGGGTTCACTGAAGCCCATGGGGCTGAGGTGCTGCTTCTTGGAGCCCCAGCCCATCAAAGAGAACTGCTCTTCAGGAAAGAAGTAGCTCTGGCTCCATGCTGTCTTGGGTTTGGAGTCTTCTGCCATCAAAGCTTCTGGTCTGGTATGAGGAAGGAAATAAAAATAAAATGCTTCAATGTCAGGATTCTGAGACAGGGGCAAATAATTTCACCCATAATTTATGCAAGGGGGAGGCCCACTCCCTCCCTCTATATTCTTATTGCCTATCAGCCACCCCTACCTGTCAGTGTCACTGCCCCTTTGCTAACCTCTAGCTATTTGAAAGGAAAAATAGGAAAAACTCATTAGTCATTTTTGCAGCTAATTGCAGCTCTCAGATAAAGGTCAAAAATAATGGTTGAAATGTTCCACAGCTATTTACCAATTCACACCATGCTGTCTCGTAATTCATCACACAAAAGGAACTTTGGCATGCCAACATTCCTCAACCTAGATATTAATTTTACATGTAGGTTTTTAAGCTAATTATACTGATAAAAGAACACTATTAGCTAACATAGCACAGTGTTTATTATGTCCCAGAAACTGTCCTATGCTGTGTGTGTGTGTGTGTGTGTGTGTGTGTGTGTGTGGCAGGATGGGAGGTGGTCTAGATGCAGATATAAAATTTAATGCTCATGACAACAATTGTACAGGCATCGCTAGGCATTGAGAGGTAAAGTAACTTTCCCAAGATCACCAGACATTAAATATCAGGTCCTTGATGTAGACTTAGGTGACCTAATCCAAAATATGTGCTTTTAGCCACTATGGTATACTCCCAAAGGGACAACTTGACAGCATATAAAACTATGCATGTAAGGAATTTTCTGACTGAACTATATCTATGTTAGCAGAGAAAAGAGAACATTCTGGAGGGCACATGAATGTATAAGATAGAAAATTCCTATCTATAAGAAAAATATTTAAGGCATATGTGAGTGTTCTGACTCAGAAAGTACTGAATTAAGAAAAAAAAAGAATGTAGCCCTAGCCAGGTAGCTCACTTTGTTGGAAAGGTATCCCCATATGACAAAGTTGCAGGTCCTGTCCCCAGTCAGGGCACATACAGGAGTCAACCAATGAATGCATATGTAAGTGGAACAGATAGATGTTTCTCTTTCTTCCCTTGCTATCTCTAAAATCAATCAACCAATAATTTTTTTAAAAAGAATGTGGCTATATGTCAATTATATCTCAATAAAACTGGAAAAAATAAAAATTTATTTTAAAAGGATGTGCTAATTAGAGACACAGTTCCCCAGCAAGCAGAGCCCTGTGCACCATGTCCTAGGGTTCATTTCCTCATAATCTTCATTAATAAGTCAGGGATTATAGGAGATCTGAGAACACAATCTGAATTTGAAAATGGACACTGAAGACAAAATCAGATTTTTTCTACAGAGCACTAAAAGGAAATCAAACAGTCCATAAAGCAAGCTATACCAGCACCTGAATCAGTGTTATTAGACTTAGATAACACTCAATAATTCCATTAACCTGCTTCTAAATGTATCCCAGAATTTTGTAACTGAATAGTATGTGGGTTACAGAGATAATCTGGGTTAATTTAGATTCAATGTATTACATATGTACTTGCCCCTAATATTATTCTCCATTGCAAAATCTTAAAGCCACTTCCTTTTGGTTAGAACCCTGTATTATCTGAGGATCTATAATAGGTTCTTCTTGAGGAGTCCAGAAATTCTGGGATGATGTAGTGGGTATAGTGAGCCAGACTACCAGAGTTCTGGCTACCTGTGATGTTCTGCAATTTACCTGTGCCTCACTCTTCTCATCTAAAAAATGTAGGAGAATAATGGTATCTGTTTCATAGGTTTGTTGTGAAGATTAAATCTATCAGTACATGAAAGTGCTTAGAACAATGCTTGGTACATGGTAAGCAAGCAAAAATATTAGCTATGTTGGGATTGATGCTGTTCCTTAAATTGCCATCACTCAAAGAAGAATCTTAATTGACTTTTTGCAGCCACAAACCAGGGATGTATGCAAACAAATGCTTCCCCTCACATTGCATAGTCATATTTTTAAAAATCTGTGAAACAAGTTACAAGATCTGCAACAATAGCGATTTCTTTTTTTTTGGCCAAGGTGCCAAGGCGAATGGACATAGATCAAGGAAGCTGGACCAGGAGACTGACAAGAGTACTATAACTACTATATCCCATACATATTACCCTACAGGACATGGGAGGGCCTCATCAAGGCCTGGCTTACTATCAGGACAAAATCTCTATGAGACTAAAATAGTGAAATAAGCATGGATATGGGAGTCAGAGAGATCTGGTTTTGAATCTTTGCTGCACAATTCTGACTTATTTGGTCTCTTATTTTGTTCAGCTTTAGTTTTCTTATCTGTCAAATGAGGATAATAATTAATGGGCCTTAGGGCTATTGGGAGGATTAAATGAAATAATGGATAGAAAATGACTAGCAGTGTCTGGCACAGAGCAAATGCTTAATTCATGTTCATTCATTCATTTATTCTTTATTCTTTTTTTAGAATTAATATTTTATTGTATTTTTTATTGTTGTTCAACTATAGTTATCCCCATTTTCCCCTCACCACCCTCCCCCATCCCACCCACCCCTACCTCCCACACTCAATCCTACCCCTCTCCTTTGGCTTTGACCATGGGTCCTTTATACATGTTCCTTGACAACCCTTCCCTTCTTTGCCCAGTTATCCCTATCCCCCCTCCCCTCTGGGTTACTGTCAGTTTGTTCTATATTTCAATGTCTTTCTTCTGAATATTAAGCACTTATTATGTGTTAGGTCACCTTTCTTCTCTCTGCTATGATAGATAACAATTATAGTCACTTTCCACAAAATATATTCCAATTACAATAAGAATGCTCCCCAGATAGATGGACAGCTTAAGAAGCAGCCACTAGGTATCTGATAAGAGATTCTCACAGTTTCAGGGAACCTGGCCCTGTAAGTGCTGTACTTGTGGCATTTTGAGCTAGAAAACCTTGACTAGCTCCAGATAGCCAAGTAATGGATTTGCCTGTCAGTAAAAGACATGATAAGAAGGTACTTCTAATATCAACAAGTCTCAGGCAGGTTCCTTCTCTAAAGGGATTTAAATAAAGCACTTAGAGGATAGATAACTACCCCCAACCTTCACTCCCAGCAGAGTGGTCTGAGCTCTCCACTGGAGAACTGGCAGAACTGAGAGCCAAAGCCCTTTTGCTTTGGAGCAAAGAAGACAACCATGCATTGTAGGGCATGCATATGAGCATTGGCACAGTGAAGAGAACAGACACTGGGAGTCCTGCAGCCAGATTGACACTTCTGCTTTGGCTTCCCTGCCCGGTTAGTTCACCCTGTCAACTACCATGCATTGCCCACTGAAGCAAATGTAGAGATAGGTGAAACAAGGGTGGGGGTAATGGAGAAAGTGGAAGAGGAAAACTATGTTCTTAGCCATTGTGAGGAATGATCAGGGCATAAAGCACCCAACCCAAGGAACACCGTTGATGCTGGGGTGTTTGGAAGAGTTTAAAAGTCCAGGCAGGTGCTAGAGCAAATGCAAGTCAGGTTGTGACCTAGCCTCTTGTTCTGAAGAACAAGCATAAGAAAAGGTAAAAAAAGTACCTGAACCATACTTCCAGGAAAAGCCTAGTACAAACAACAAGGCCTTCTGGCTCAGGGGCAAGAAACTGATGCATATCTTAAAGACAAACTGGGAAATAATAAATATATTTTGATGGTGGTATTTAGGGATAAGAACACAAACAACTATAGTTTACTGAGTACCTACTATGTGCTAAGCATGGGACTATGTCCTTTACATAGATTAACTTCATATTCACAACAACAACATGCAATAGGTATCATTATGCCCGCTGTCCATCTGAGAAAACTGAGGCTGGGAACAGTCCAAGGTCACGTAACTGGTACATGATAGGGTTGAATTCATACTCATGCTGCCTGCCTCTTCAGGGACCTAATGTCTTCATAAGCACTTACTTGGAGGGATCAGTGGTCTCCTGCTCCGACGTCCTCCAAAGCCCACCAATGCCATAATAGCAAGGTGGCTGAGCCTTCTCAGGTTGAGATCCCAAGTGGCCCCTTATTGGAGGCAGGAAATCACTGGAAAGGAGAGCAAAAGGCTCTTGCTCTGCTGGGAGGTTTTGTGTGCTCTGCCTTGAGACCTCCAGATGACCAAAGCCCAGAGGCTGTGGCTGCTCTAGGACTCTCTCAGTGTTGAGAGCACAGGAACCAATGGTTTCTGAACTGAAATACTGGGGTGGCAGCTCCTCCTCCTCTCTTCCCTCTTCCTTCTCGACTCTCTCCTCCTCTTGTCCTTCCTCCTCCTCCTCCTCCTCCTCCTCCTCTTCCTCCTCCTCTTGCTGCTGCTGTTGCTGCTTCTGTTGCTGCTGCTGCTGCTGGGCTGCACGGAGGAGCCTGTACTTCTCCCAGTTGGGAGGAGGAGGACGAGGAGGAGGAAAGGCCTTCTTCTTGGTTCCCAGAGGATCTAGCTGTGTTTCATCAACTTTGGTAAAGAGGTCCCTCCTTTGCTGTGCCCAGGTTTGGGAGCTCTGGGGCTCCAAGCTGATGTGGCTCTCTGAGAAGGCACGGCTACGCAGTGGGTGGGGCATGGAGGCCACGGGGCTTCCCTCCTCATAAACTGAAGTTTCCTCTGTTTTTTTTGAAGAGTGCTTGAAATCTCCAAGGAGGTCAAGAGAGGAGATTGCTCGGTAGCTTGACAAGTCCAGTGCTGGGTTCTCAAGGCAAGGATGAAAGGGGGTTGCCCATGAAAATCCAGTCTTAGAATTAGCCGTTTCCCTGTAAAAGAGCAGATTGGGATTGTGTAAAGCAAGCAAGTTGCAGATGATCCCATATTTTTGATGACATCATTTATGTAAAATTTAAAATGGGCACAAAACAATGTAATCTATGTAGTAAATGTAATAATAGTAATATATAATATCTTAATATATTTAATCCTCATAATAACCCTAGGAAGTTGCTATTATTATTGTCCTGACAGCTGGGGAAACTGAGGCATGGTCAGGTTAAGTAACTGTCTCAGGGCCATAAAGCTAGTTAGTGGCAGAGCTATGGTTTAAACCTGGACAATGTCCAAAGTCTGAATACACACACCACCTCAGTCTGCTTGTAGCACTCAGACTGAATGTGCTATATCCTTAGGCTTACAAGTCTGCTTATCTTGTTTTGTCTGTTCTTTTGTTTTTAATTATGAAACATTCAAATATTTACAAACATACAGAGATTGTTAAAATAAATATTCATGTTCCCACCTACTGCTCACAATAAGCACATCTTAATACTTTCCCATTCACTGATGCTTCATAATTTTTTTTCAAGAAATAAAAAATATCCTAGTTTCACTCCCTACTTCCATTCTCCTATTGTTTCTCTAGAATCAAGTTATTTCATGAATTTGACAGGTACACATTCTGCCGATGTTCTGATACTTGTAAGAAAAAACATCAAGCAGAACATTTATAAATATCTGCTATTTTGGGTTTAAAGTATCTCCTTTTAATATAATTCCAGTCAGAATTCTCAATAGGAATTTTTAACTGTAGAATTTTAAAATTAGCTTGTAAAGTAAAGTATGATATAATATTAAAGAGTACTTGCTACAGAAGAAATGGGGGGTGAGTAAGGGATTAAGCATATTATAAAGAATTTACAATGAAAACAGTGCATTCTGATTGGTGGAACAGGATGGAAAGCCCAGAAACAAATGAAACTATTTGAACATCATGTATAATTGACCTTCCATAACAAGGAGATAAAGAAAGATCATTTAATATATCTTTTTAATGCTCACCTGAGGGCATTTTTTCATTGCTTTTAGAGAGAGAGGGAGAGAGAGAAACATCAGTATGAGAGAGACCATTGGTTGCTCCCCATAAGAGCTGGGACCAGGGATCATATGCACTGACCAATAGGGACTGGACATGCAACCTAGGTATGTGCCCTGACCATGGATTGAACCTACAACCTTTCAGTAACATGACAATGCTCTAACCAACTGAGCCATACCAGCCAGACTAATAAATGTTTTTGGAGATACCTGCAGAGCAGTATTATTTGGAGCTATACCATGATACACACACACACACACACACACACACACACACACACTCTTCAAAATAAATTCCAGATTTAAGGGTGTATGTGTATAAAATTTAAATATATATGTTATATGTGTATATAATATACCTATAAGAAAAAACTATCAAAATTAAATTCATTTGTGAAGAGAAATAACATTCTCATCTTATAAGCAATAGAAGAAAATACCAAAGGAAAGGAGTCCATGTTTATTTCAAAATGCATAAAAATATTTATAAAAAGTCAAACATTTATATACATATAATGTATATATACATATTATATTTATATATAATAAAGAGTCACCAAAGTCAGAGGACATCTATTAAGCCCACTAAGCCAAAAGATTTGGTTTCCTGCTATAGCCTGTAAGCAATAAGCATCATTCTAAGTACTGCCTAGTGACAGGAAATTCCAGCAGTTCAATCAAATCACCAGACAGAATGTCCATCCAATAGTCATAATAAATACTGAGAATATTTATTTAATAATATACATAATAGTAGCCAAGCTCAGATAGAATGGAATGCAAAAATATCCTTCACTCCCCTCATCTCCAGTCCCCATACTGGCTAGTTCATCAGTCATATAGATCAAAAATTCTTATCCACACATTCCCCACTCTCTTCTCATTTAGGCCTTAGCCCACCTACAACTTATTTCGATTAAAATGATCTCTTGTGTACAAACTGTTCCACCTGGCATTTCCCCCTCATGAAATAAACAAAAAAACAAGGTGGTAGGCAAAGAGGACTATCCTGACCACCTTATCTAAAATAGAGATGACGTCCTTAATTTTCCTTTTTCTATTTTGTTCTTTCTCAGAGGATACATCATGACCTAAGATTCTGTTACATACTTATTTTTACTTGTTTATCCTGTGGTCCAATCTCTAACTCAAATATAAGCTCCACACCTGCAGGGATCTTGTGTATCTCATTCATCTGGTATCTAGTGCCTAGCACACAGTAGGCATTCAATAAATACTTTTTAAATAAATGAATTAATGCTGAAATGGGGAAAAACAAGGGCCATGATATTCATATCATTAAAAAGAATTAAAGGCAAAAAAATAAAAACAAAGAAGGGCACTATAATATTAACAATTAGAACAGATGATGAAGATCTAACTACTCTGAATCTTTACATACCAAATCACAGAGCATGAAAACTTCTAAAGCAAGTCAGGGGGGTGTAAAGTAAAACATAGAGAATATAGTCAATAACATTTTAATTAAGTAGGTATGGTGCCAGGTGGGTACTAATCTTATCTGGGTATTTGCTTCATAAGTGATATAAATATCTAATCACTGTATTGGACACCTGAAACTAATATAATAGCATGTCAACTATAACTGAAAAAAATAATAAAAATTTCCTAAAACAAAATCTATAGGAAATGCAAAGGTAGAAAACAGAAACAAAACATGAGATTGTTTCAGCTGATGACAGATTTCACAGTTAAAAACTAATGGAGCCCTGACTGGCATGGCTCAGTTGATTGAGCGTCATTCCACAAAGCAAAAGGTCACTGGTCAGATTCCAGGTTAGGGCACATGCCTGTGTTGCAAGCTGGTCCCTGGTAGGGGCATGTGTGAGAGGCAACTGATCTATGTTTCTCTCACACATCAATATTTATCTCCCTCTCTTTCTCCCTTCTTCCCTTCTCTCTAAAAATAATAAATAAAAAAATTTAAAAATGTAATGGAAAAAAATCTAAACTTTTCATACACTAAAAATAGTGTATGGGCCCTACTTTTTTAAGGGCCCATTGAGCAATTTAAGAAATTGATTATATATTAACCTAAAAAGTAGAGTAGTACAGAGTACAGAATATAATCATAATACAATAACACTAACAACAAAAATGAAAAACAAAAAAACCTTCTAGCATAAAAAATAAAAGGGGAAATATTCTCTACTGTAGTCAAAGAGGTGATCTAGTCTGAAACTGTAGAATACCTTGAAAATAAGAACAATGAAAATATGAGAAGCTGGAGGATATGGTTGATTAAAGCAGTGGTAAAAGGAAAAATTGTAGAAGAACAAATTAAAATAAATGAATTAAGCATTCCACCAAAGAGGTTAAGAAAAGAGGCACAAAAGCAGACCAAAGCAAAGCAGAAAGCAAATTCATGTCACCAATCAATACACTGGAAAACAAATGATAGAACAAAAAATTAAAGCTGAAATCTGGTTCTTTACATGAAAATTAAAATAAGACAGATAGACCACTTGCTAATCTAATTAAAAATCCAAATGCAAAAAAGAAAATGGAAGAATGAGGATATCTAAACCCACCAGCTACCATAGAAAAAATATTGATAAATTTGACCAAAAATAAAAAGCACACTCACATGGTCTTGTGTTAATTCTAACCTTCAAAGAACAGACAACCCCAATGCTATTTATGCTTCCTAGACTCTGGAATCTAGAGAATAGAGGGATAAGAAAAGAATCCGACACAATGTCAGTACCAAAACCCACAACAGAAGATACATAAAGGAAAATTAGAGACCATTCTCATATAAAAATACTAATGTATTTTTTGCATTTAAAAACATAAATATTAGGACATTAGTACATATAAGGGATTTATTAATTAACTCCAGCATATACTGACGGCACATACTTAAAAAATTCTTTTGGAGAAGGGTGGATAATCCAAAAGATTGGAAACCACTAGTTTGGGAGAGTCACTCCTGACCAAAGTGGCTCCTAATCAGAATTACCTGGAGAAATTGTTTAAAATGCAATTCATGGCTCTCAGCCCCAGAAACTGGAACTTAGTACTTCTGGTAGGGTCTGGGAATCCATATTTTTAACAATTGGCCCAAGAGATTCTAATACAAATGGCTCGGGAACTCAAGGCCCATGGAAATAAAGGGCCAGGGTAAAAAGGATATATAAGTGTTGTGGTTTAGGGAATGAGGTTTGAAGACAGAGTTATTTGTTCCAGTTAGATTAGTTTTCAGTCTATACAGCCTTTCTTCTACCCCTTGCTACACACATTCCTACCTTCTATCTCCGCCTTTCTCCCCCTTCCCCATCTTCATCTGCAATCTCCATCTGATAAAATGCAGGCAGTGACAGCAACCTCTCCAAAAGCCTCATTTAGGCCATTGTCCCACTGCTATGGTAAGAAGAACCCTGCTTCATGACAGTAATCAAATTTACTACTCTTTCTTTTTCCCTAGCCAGGGCACTGGAAAAGCAATAGAACAGAGTAGAAAGAACACATTGTCAGAAAGACTTGGGTCTAAATTCCAGTAAAATTTTAAAATCTGGCTCCATAACTCAAAAGCTATACAATCATGAGCAGAGTATTTAATTTACCTCAGTTTTGGTAAAATGTCTATCTTACAAAGCTGTTGTGAAGCTTAACTATATAAAAAGTACCTAGCAACAGAGAACAGACTGATAGTTCTCAGGGTGGGGGGTTGGGGGCTGGGTGAAAAAGGTGAAGGGATTAAGCAAAACCCAAAACAAAACAAACTTCATACACACAGTATGGTGATCACCAGGGAGAACAAGGTGGGGGAGGTAGAAGAGGGTAAAGGAGATATACATGGAAGAAATAGAAGGAGACTTGACTTGGGGTAGTGAACATACAATACAATGTACCAATGATGTATTATAGAATTGTATACCTAAATCCTATATAATTGTATTTACCAATGTCACCCCCAAAAATTCAA